AGATCAAGCCTTTGTCAGTTTCATCTTTTGCAAAAGTTTTCTCCCATTCTGTATGTTGTCAAACCAACTCTTTCATAGTGATTCAGTTACAGAAAATCTTATGAAATAATCCTGAAAATTATCTCCCCTTTTCCATATTGGCTACTGTAGACTCTATAGTGAAGAAAATGAGATTTCAAATCTGAAAACCAACTTTCAGGGGCCAATTCTCAAACTTTTTATCTTTACCTGCTGTTATTTTTAGAAATACCACAAGAAATGGAATACTTTGAAGTACAATCAGGTTGTAGTTAAGGACTCCAAAGCCTAGTAATCTCTAAACAATCATTATTAATGCAAATAAGGTAGTCTGCCTGCAGTGCCTGGAGTATAGAATGAATGACCACAAAACAAGCTTCACGAGGAGAAAGAAAATGAAACATGACTGATTTATGTTATCATATCACCAAGAGGTGTGTTCAGGTGTGGGCTTCTCTATGTCCTGGATGAAGTGACCCTTAAGACTACCTTTTGCTTTGATTTCTATTCTTAATAAGCAACCCAAAGATCATCAGTTTAGCACCTGATGTGCCCTGGCATTGGCAAGGAGCTGCTCTGGAATGAATTCTGATTTTATCAGACACAAATACTATGAATTAATACATTGACTTTAGTCACATTAGGGATTCAGATGCCCTATCTGATGCAGTCCTAGGTCCCAGTCTGTGGTGATCCTTTCCAAGGAGCCCTTTTTCAAGGGACTGACTTCACTGAGTGGTATCTTTGTGTCATTTCTCATAATCTTTATAGAATTTTGTTAGGGATGAGTGAGAGCAAAATAGCATATACATGTTACTATTTATTCTAGGGCTATCCAACAATCTTTATGTCTTCATATTTTATGTCTTTATGTCCACAAAAAAATGGTAAGGGGTCTTACAACCCAGCCAGTCCATTTGTCAGTTTTGAACTCACTTTTGCCTTTCAGGCCCTTATTGATCAGTAAGGACTGCTAAGCCACATCTCAGAAGAAAGTGGAATCAGGAGACGGATTGTTTTGTTTATATCCTGAGCCTTGTTCAGAATGCATGACTGTAGACCACTCCCAAACTGGGCTGAACTTCAGTGGATCTCTTGGAGTAGACTCTGGTCTGAGCCTCTCCTGGCAGAAATACCAGGCAACACAGTCTTGAGCTTACTGGCCCTTGTTTGTGAAGCCCATTTTTATTTGAGGCTACACCTACACTGATTGATATTCCAGTGACCTTACAGTGTAAGGTCACAGAGAATAGAGGCAACAGAAAATGAAGATGTTCTCATCAGCTTTGTATTTATCTGTTTACAGGAGAACTTATTCTAGGTGTGCAAAACTCCTTAAGAAAATCTTGAACTGTCTTGGATGTCTCTGAAATGAAATTGCCTCAGCTGTTGCTCCATAGCTTTTCTGTCAATCCAGAAGCTCAGTGTTGGGGCTTCAGACAAAGTGGAGGTAGCGTGGTCCCCTAACTCTCATGTTCTCTGTAGAAACGCTATGTGCTGGAGGAAGCTGAGCAACTGGAGCCTCGGGTCAGTGCTCTAGAAGAGGACATGGATGATGTGGAATCCAGTGAAGACGAGGAAGAAGAGGATGAGAAGGTCAGACACCTGGGAGCTTAAGGGGTGAAGGAGGGATAGTTATAGGGAATAGAAATGGTCTCTTTTTGTTTTCAACTTTAACTTTTTTAGCCAAAAAATATAAGAGTTAGTCTTTAAGAGTATGGACTTGATTCATATCTCAGCTCTGCTATTTACTAGTGGTGTAATCTTGTGCAAATTACACAATACCCATTTTCTCTTCTGTAAAGCAAGGATTATGATACATTCCTCATAGGACTATTATGAGTATTAAATGAAATGATATACATAAAGCCCTTAGCATAGTACTGGAACATTGTAATTGCCTAATAAATGGTAGGTATTAAAATAAGTACTTGGGACAAAAATAATACTGTTCATAATTGAGCATATCCTAAGGAGTCAGTCTAATTTAGGGGGCAAAAATGCCTACTGCATGGTCATGTTCTTTCACTATTAGTTATAATGCTGGAAAGTTGAAAACAAGCAGGCTGTCAGGGAGCAGTCAGGTATATCAATTCAACAGACTATTAGGTAGCCACTGAAAATGTTATGAAAAGTATACAATGTGGAAATGCATATGGGTAAGTTAAAAAACAGGATCTAAAACATTTGTGATTTAAATTATAAGAAGCAGTATGTGTAGAAAAAGGCTGAGGGAAATATAAGAAATGCTGGCTTATAGATACTGAGACAGTGCAGATGGAAGTATAGCTGGTGATTGATTAATGAAGCACAAACCATCCTTGAATTGAAAGCCAGGTGAGGCAGGGGTGCTCTTCTGTGGTGAGTGAGCCAAAAGTAGACATTCTTTTTTTCTTTTAAATGGAAAATTTAATCACATACCTAAGTGGAGAGAACGAGCCTCCCTCTACCCATCACCCCGCTTCAGTAGTGATCAACTTAGCTGTTTTGTTTCCTCTATCTACATCTCTACCCAGTTGGGCCCCCCAGTTATCTTGAAGCAGATCCCAGCCATCATATATCATCCATATTTCAGAAAAGACAGGCTTTTTAAAGCATAACCATGATACCATCACCCCCTCCCAAATCAAGTGATTCCTTAATATCATCATATTCAGTGTTCTACATTTTTAATAGTCTTAACTAATATCCAGACAAGGCCCATAAATTGTAATTGGTTTTTATGTTTAAAGTATCTTGTAGTCTATCAGTTTCATCTGTTCTTCATTTTTCCCCTTCAGTTTTTAAGTATATCAGGTCATATCATTTTATACAGATTTTTACAATCTGTATTCCCTGTGGTGTCACTTAACATATTCATTTGTCCCTTGTAGTTCCTGTAAAGTAGTTCTTAGGTCTAGAGGCCTATTGGATTTGGGGTTTTTATCCCCTTCAGAGTGGAGCAACACTACTTCATAGGTAGTGGCGTGTACTTCCCCCAGGATGAGCAAAGTATGGTTGTCTCTTTTTTGTAATATTCGCAGCCACTGATGATCTTTTACCTAGACCTATTAGGGTTTAAAATGGTGATATTCTAATTATTTCTTCATCATTTGTTATCTGTACCACTGCTATAAAGAGAAGCCTCCCAAATCAATATTTAGTTTTTCATGGGTAAATTATTTGATTATTTCTCTTACCAGTTTTTAAAATGAGTTGATTGTACAGTATCCTCCCAAGGATGAAAGCTCTTTTGCCCTTGGTAACATTGTGAAGTCACGGATTTAAGCATATTTGGCGTGTTTCAGATCATTATTGTCCTTTTTGATGTTCAAATTGTCTCATCTTTGGCTAATGGGGAGTCTCTCAACTTGACTCGTTAAGACTTTTTGATACAGTCATAGTCATCTCAGCCTCCTTGCTTTCTGATATGATGATACGTTCTAGTCATGTCTTGTTACCTTCTGCCCCAGACCTGGAGTTAGCTGTTTTTCCAAAAAGCCCTTGGTTTCGTTTATCGGGATGTGGTTTTTAGAGACCACAGTCTGGGCTCACTGCTACAGACTTGGTGTTTCTAGGCCTTTACAGTTGACAGGGCTAGGGGAAATGTTTTTTCAAGCTGAAAGTACACCATGAGTTTGTACTTAATCTTAATGATCTTATGTCCGTATCTCTTTTTCTTTCACATAGGAAATCCAATTTATTAGGAGATAAGCATACTTACTTATCTCTCACTACTCTCACACAGTCCCAGAATAATGGTGCCAGCACTAGAACAGTAATCGGATTATTAGTGACAGTTTTTTTTTATTTGGTAGTTTTTTTGTCTTTAGGGTTATCCCAGGATGTATTCAAATTACTGTGTTTTAAAATCACAGGTTGGGGAGGGGAGTGTAAACCATGTTCCTAGATGGTTGTCTATAAGCGCATGCTCATCACTGACCCAGTCCATCTCTTCTCCAGTTGGAGAGAGTGCCATCACCCGATCATCGCCGGAGAAGCTACCGAGACTTGGACAAGCCCCGTCGTTCTCCCACACTGCGCTACCGGAGAAGTAGGAGTCGGTCTCCCAGAAGGTAAGGTCTTAGTTTTTGGCCTCTTCTAGGCAGACTTCAGGCACTTTAGTGTTTGGACTTCATGGAAGGGAAGTTTGCTTGCCCAGTCTATTAGTTATTGCACAACAGCCACCCACAAAACATTAGTGGCAGACATTAGTTCACCAGTCTGTGGTCAGTGATATTTTTTGGGGGGATGGGGGGTAAGATGAATATTCACTCAACTTTATAAAGAGATTAGTATTAAATTGCCATAAACACCCCATTTGTAGACAAATATAACTGTACATCACACCAGTAGCTGGCCTAACTTTCCCAAGATGCTTACATGGCTCCAGCTCTTAGTTGAGCATGGAAATTTGTCTGCCACTGATGTGAAAAGTCCCTCAGAAATAATGGTTTTTTGTTTTACATATTCACAGGTGGGAAAAATAAACCCATCTTCCCAGCCCTTTCTTAAGAGTTGAGCTTCCATCTACATGTTCCCTAGAGAGCACTAAACAAATACTGACTCATTCTTTAAAAAAAAAATTACTGGTAATTTGAGAAGGCTTTTTGTAGCACACCAAAATACTTATTTATACACACATTAAAAATCTTGAGTTGGATTTATTTTAAGGGTAAACATACCCTAGCACTGCCAGGGGTGGGTAATGGAAAGGAAAGAACACATTAAATTACTGAATTATAAAAATATTTTCTTCAGAAAAAAATTCCAACAGGGTTATCATTAATATAAAACCAAAGAGAAAAAATAAGCAGTTGTTCTTTGATCCATTAGTAATTTAAATAAAAATGAAAACCACTTCAAAAGCAGCTATAACTGAATCTTTTAAAAAGTTGCAGATAATGAGCACTTCTAAATCTGTACACATGATTCTTTACAGGCAACTTGCAGTCAAGAAGAATCCTTAATATGGCTAATTGTTTACTTTTTTTTTTTTAGAATACAAATAAAAGTTTATTGTACAAAATTAAGGCCTTCATAGTTTATAGTTCACTAAGGCTAAACAAAGACTAGGTAATTTTTTAAAATCCTTTACAAAAATTTCACATATACTCCCCCCTGCTCCACACACAACTATTAAAATGGCCTGAGCAACTGTTATCAAAATGAAAACTATAAATAACACCCAGTCCTTTAAAGACAACTATCCCAACTGTTATTTCCTGGCATAAGTGATCTTCATGGCATGGGATGGTGTGATCTTAAACCCTTGTAAAGCATCCCTGGCAGCTCCAGCCTGGCCATCATTTTCAAATTCAACAAAAGCAATGTTATGCCTCCCAGGTACTAAACGTACTTCCTTGAAACCAGGAAACTGATTAAACAACATGGATAACATCATCTCATTAGTCTCTTCTGGTAAGTTACTAAGGAATACAATATAGTTTGGAGGGTAATCAGGAACCTGAGGATTTGGTGTTGCATTTCCTTGGGTATTAGCTGAATTTGGTGTTCCCTGACCAGGCTTTTTGTTGGTGGTTGCTGCAGTCTGTTCCACAGTTTTCGCTTTTTTCTTTTCTTTGTTAGCAAAAGTGCCATGCTTTTTAGATATTGTATCGGAATCTGTTTTTGCATACTGGATTCGCATTGGTTTGCCATAAAATGGAAACCCCTGTAACTGTCTCAAGACATTTGTGGAAGAGCCCAGTTCCTTAAATATAACAAAGGCTTGCCCCCTCATCTTCAGTCTTTAAAGCTACAATATTCTAATATATGGCCAAACTGAGAAAACAGAACATACAGGGATCTCTTCAATTCTTCTTTTTTAATTTTGTCATTCATATTGTTGATATAAATTGTATGATTTGGTCAGATATCCATGTTTTAGGTTATACTGTTCAAACAGCCTGAAGCATCCATGGCATCTCCTAACAGCCAGAAGCTGGGAACTGTCTTTACGTTTTTAATTGCCATAATTTTTTCTGTTTTTAAAAAATATTTCACATGACAGCTTAAAAAATAAGTGGTTGTTTTGGGGAAGCACTCCAAATACTCAGTCTGACTTAAATCAGATTATGTGGTCAGTGATTTAAGCTAGGATTAGATTGGCAGTTATTTTCAGTATAAGTTATTGTCACTTACCTGTTTTGCGGTCAGCTGTCTGTTGGCTGGTATAGGATGGCCCTACCTAGGATGACTTGAGCAACTCATCTCTATGTATGTCAGACTCTAGGCAAGGTCAGGCATGTTCTCAAGAAAGTAGTGGCAGAATACAAGAGCAAAGAAGCCTAACCATGCAAGCATCTTTCCAGTATCTGCTTGCATCACATGCACAAATATCCCATTGGCCAAAGCAAGCCATATGGCCAATCTCAGACTTAAGAGTCAGAGGGTATAAAAAAAATGATAAAGGACATGAACAACAGAGATGGGTGAAGAATTGGGACAATTTTTGCAATTTATAGTATCCAGTGTACCTACTAAGGTTGTTCTTCCTCTTTTTTCTTCCCATATAGGCGGAGTCGGTCTCCCAAAAGAAGAAGGTAGGCCTTTAATGACTTGTGATGAAGGATAGGGATTTGGGAAGGTGGGTGCTATTGTTGTGCTTATATTGTCAGATAGATATGGGTGTCTAACCAGTCATTTCCACAGCCCCTCTCCTCGCCGAGAAAGGCATCGGAGCAAGAGTCCAAGGCGTCATCGCAGCAGGTCCCGAGATAGACGGCACAGATCTCGCTCCAAGTCTCCAGGTATAGCATATGGGCCTTTTGGTTGTCTCAATAAAGAACTGTAATAGGAGCAGTTAGCCTCCTGCAGTACGGGAGTACTTTACTTTATCGTTGCCTAGAAGAAAAGGAAGTAGGTATAGAATTTGAAAATTAGAGTTCACATCTTAACTGTCACTTACAAGCTTTCCTGATAGGATGATGCACTTGTTTTTTCGTTTGAAATTATAGGATTAAGACCTATCAAAGTAGTGGTAAATACCCAATGTGATGTTTGTGAAAGTAGCCATAAAGCCCTGAATGCATATGAAGTGGGCTCAGTTCTCCTCTCCCCATCTCTCACTCTCTCACACACACACATCAGTTAAGAGAGGATCTACAAGAGGTGTCCCTAGCATGGGCCAAAAAAAGTATTAGGCCAATGAAAGGGATTGGGGGAGGTACAAATGACACTGAAGGAATAGGAGGGTAGACTCTCACTCATCCAATAGCCTTTTCTTCCCCAGGTCATCACCGTAGTCACAGACATAGGAGCCACTCAAAGTCTCCTGAAAGGTACGGATTTACCTCTATCTTGACTTAAAAATTTCACTCTTTATTCAGAAATTGAAGTCCCAATCACAACTAAATTGGACCTGAAATTTTCTTGTATTGATGAAAGTATTTAGGAATTCTTTACTACAGAACAAATTTGGGCTATTACCCTGAGAATTACTAAAATTATATATGTATATTTTGTGTTATTTTGTTTTTCCTTGTAGGACTGCAATTTTAGATAAGGGCATGAGCTTTAATCTCAGGAGATCTGGAGTTCAGTCCTAGATTTTAACACTTAACAGTTGAGTAATATTGGACAAGTCACTTTCATTTGATAAGCTTTCATTAAAAATCTCTATATGCTGTACACTGTTAGGTGCATTCTTAACCTGTCAGAGATCATTTCCTCAATGGTAAATTTTGGATACTAATGCCTAACTCAGTGTTGCTCTTAGACATAAAAACTTTTGGCACATTTCCTGAATATTGGGTATCATCTCCATTCCCATCAGTGTTCGCATACCCCAGTCTTCCTCAAAAGTCCTTGCCCAGCTCCTCAAACAGTTGTTTGTTTTAGTTATTTGTATATGTTGCCGTTTCAGATCTAAGAAAAGCCACAAGAAGAGCCGGAGAGGGAATGAGTAATGGACTCAGTTTGGTCCAGATGGCCTTCTGTGGAGATGAAGGCATTTGTCTATGTGAAAGAATGAAGACCTACTCCCCAGGCAGCTATGAGAATATTTTAGATTTTTTTTCCACCAAGTTTCTTCACTTGTTTTTTTTTAAATGAAAAGAGGTGCTGAGTTTTGTATCTCTTTTTGAATCGTAAACGTTTGAGGGATAATGCTTCCCAAGGGCTGCTTCTGATCTCTTTGTACAACCAACCTTGCTTGTACTTAAATTTATGAGGGTAGAATGGATTTGAGTAGAGAGTATGAATGACAAGGGGAGGGTGTGGCCCCCTGGTGACCCTTTTGTTATTAAATTTGACACACTCATTTTCTATTTTTCTGTGGTTTAAGTTTTGGTTTACTCTGCTTCGAACTGTTCTGAGAATCCTGAGATTTGTGTGGCTGCTGTTACGTTAAAAAAAATCAAGTCAGTAAAATATATTAGCTCCAACTTTTTTTTTCCTACCTATCATATGCTCAGCTCTATATTCTAAGATTAGTAAAAAGCTCAAAGCAGGGAGAAAACACAGCATTTGCCTTAATAAACAGAAGGAGCTTATGCACCAGCTGTGAAGACAACATGTATATTCATGAAAAAAGCTGGACAACACCACAAGATATGTATGTGAGGTGATGTAGCACAGATGATCCTATGGAAATTTATATAGGTTAATAATTTCATCTGTGAACCATCACTTTGCTTCTGTTATTCATCTTTTCATGGAGATAGTGATACAACCTACCACATTCCTTAAGGGGACATTATAAAGATAAATGAACTAACCTTTGTAAAGCAGTTTGAACTCAGAAGATATTAGAAAAGTACAATGGAAAGGAACTTATAAATCAGGGCTGATTTGGTTATAACAAATAATAATAAATCGTTCCTTTGTTTACTTTCAACATCTTCTGTATTTAACAATTAAGTCTTTTAAAATACCTGGTGTTTAAGCTGGCAAAAAAATAACAGTAAATGACCCAAAACATCCTAATACATAAGGTTTTTAAACAAGCACAGTGCCTATTTTTAGCCATGACTTTATTTTATAAAAGGTTCTTTTAAAATATTAGCTCCAACTTTTATCTCCAGTAGCAGCAAGGGGTAATAAACATGAAAACTGGCTAGCAGCAGCTTTGTAAGAAAAGAATGTATTAAAAAATGTAAGGCTTCTTCTGGATTATTTAATCCACTTGCATTGAAAGTTCAACAGAACAGTAAAACTTAGTACCTTTTATACAGTATCCTTATATAGTGTTCCCCCCAATCCTGAATTCCAGTTGAGATGTTCAACCTTTATCCTAACAAGCATTGACATTATCCAAGTCTAGGCAGTAGCAGTAGGGCAACTAGATTGAAAAGGTTTGATAGAGAGAAAAGTATCTAATGCCACTTAGCGTTTTAACCTGAGTTGCTGGACAACAGTGCCATTCACAAAGCCAGAAAATACAACAAGGAAAGACCAAGTTTTAGAGGAGTAGGTAGTGGGAGTCATGGTAATGAAAACGATGCATTCATTTTAGCAAAGTTTAATTTGAAATAGCTATGTTATATCTAGATACAGCCCAGACATTGGAAATAATAACTGGAGTTAAGCATAGTGATCCAGACCTGAATTGACAATGTTTAGGTTAATTGTGGAGGGTGTAGAATTAAATGCAATTGCCCAGGAAGTCTTTGTATATGTAGGAAAAGCCAGTAACAGAATCACAGGGAACACCAACACTGGAGAGTAAGAAGTAGTCACCAATTGAAAACTGCAATGCATCATTCAGGAAGGGGAATTAGAAAGTGGGTTAAGAAGCCAAGGGTCTAAGGAAACAGAAGCAAAATAAGGACTGAATAATGCCCCTGGGCACTGATAGGAGGGTGTTGGGATCTTTGCTAGAAGAATTCTGTCTACCTGTACTTACCTTTCCTCCTTTAAAAAGGGAAAAGTGATCAAATGAATTCATGAAGCTCTGATCCCAGCAGGAATTGAGAAGACCAGCTGCCTCAAAGGATCTGTTTCTTGGGAAGCCATATCTGGTCATAGGATAGACATTGTGTTGCTTCCTACTGCACTGAAGGACTTTTGCATCAATGTTAAAGCATTTGGGGATCATATTTGAGATTTCATATTCATCAATAATTCCTCTCCTGATAATATTTGAGGTAATAAAAGTTGTCAGTAAGAGTTATTATGGCTCATCATACAACTATATGTGGGACTGCCTTTAAAAATTAAATATAAGTGCCTCTATTTATATCTGTTATACAGCCTAGCAGTTACTTATCAGCCTGTGGAAAGAAATGACTTCAGGCTAAATGACCAAAGTACCAACCAGGTCGGCATCCAGTATACTGTTAAAATTTTTAAAGTATACTTTATATTTAAAGCATAAATACTTAAAAACCCACCCCAAAACACCAACAATTTTTAATCACAGAAATAAACCTCCCCAAGCATAAACCATAAACTTAAAGCCTACTCCAAAGTGGGACACGTCAAACATCTCTCTAGAGATCATTTTGATAAATTACAGAATTGTAGAGGATACGGAATCTAAGGACATATCTTGCTGAAGGGTCATTTATGTCATCTATGTGCTAGCCTACCGGATGAGCAAGGCCTTGGAATTGTAGCTATACAACTTTTTTTTTTACTGTGACCTTTAGTGAGACACATTTTACATCTTACCTCTGTACACATACATATTCTGTACTAAAACAAATTTCAGGAGAAAATTCTTACTCCGTATGCAAAATACATTCTGATAGTTCTTATACACTGTCAGTTTTACTGCTGAGTACAAACCACTAAATTACTTTCATGTCCCACAATTTGACTTACACTGCCTTAAAAAGCTTTGCCATAGGGCACAATGGCCTCTTAACACTAAGAAATGAAGAGATATATGTTCCCAGAGGCAAATGAAATAATGAATTTGGTGAGAGGCTTCCAATATAATTCAAATCAAAGTTCATTCTCTTAGCCCCTTTCCATTATTTTCAGTAGACTGAACTAAGTTTAAATAAGCATTGATCAGAAAAGAATGATGACAGATACTGGCCTCTCCCTGCTAAAAGCTAAAGTCACAAGTTTGTACACTAAACAAAGTGATCTGTTTTTAAAAAAAATGCAAGAGCTAAAATTCAAAGAGATTAAAAAGTAAGAGATAGAAAATAAGCTTGGCAGAGTTTAAGAAATGAAGATTAGAAAATTTGAAAAAGGAAAGCCTTATTAGAAAAGCCAAAATATAAAACAAACAAAAGGCATAGAGAAAATAGTCTGGAGGAAATAAAAAATGGAAAATAACAAGTTATAGAGATAATAAAGAAAATACATGAAATCTTGCATGTGCATATTTAACATTTCTGATAAGGAGAACTGAGCAAATCAAACTTTAAAAATTTCAAATACAAGAAAAATCTTGATTTAAGAGATGAATTATATGGGCATCCAAGCAGAGAAATCAAGTCATGTATAATGAGGAAACAGATCAAGATGGCCTCATCTTAATTAACGCATTGATGCAAGAGGCTCCAAAGGAAGGTCTGAGGAAAACAAAGTGTGCCAGGAACTTTATACCCAGTCAACGTTGTCTTTAAAATACAAGGGAAATAGATATTCTCAAGTATGGATGTATTTAAAAGAATAAACCCACTTGGGAAAAAAAACTGCCTGATAATGAAACTCACCCAACAATAAATGAATCAAATTAAGGACTCAGGAAAAAAGATGCAGTAAAAAGAAATGGTAGTGAACATCTTAGAAGTTTTAAATAAAAATGATGGGAAATGATTATAAGACTCAAATGAAATATTTGAACTTGTCTATATAATAATAAAACCAGGAAGCAAAGAAACTGTGTGCTGGTTACATTTTTTCATAACAGGAGTCATATACTGTCTGTAACTAAAATACACATG